AGCAGCAGGAGACGAGCAATGCGACGGCAGCAGCTCCTCAGCAGCAACAACAGCAGCAGCAATCACATTACCACCAGCAGCAGCAGCAGCAACAGCAGCAGCCACAACCTCCCACACAGCCAGCGGCAACCACCAAGACCTACAGCAGTTATGCGGCCAAGCGGCAGCATACTGTCTACGAGCAGCCAGCGCTAAGCACCGTGGTATCCTCATCCGCATCCTCCTCTTCCGCCAATCCCCAGCCGCCACTTAATCTGGCACCGCCCGCACCGCCTGCTTCGCAGAGCAACCAAAACAGTGCCGAGAGCTCGCAGCCGTCGTGGGCGAGTCTGTTTGCCAACAAGAAGCCAGTGGCCAAGGTGGCACCTTACGAGGCCAACAAACCAGCACCGGCAACGGCGCCTATGCCACCGCTTCAGCCAATGCTGCAGTTGGCACCGCCGCAGCCACAGCTACAGGTTCAACCACAGCCGCAGGCCACTGTGGTAGTTGCAGCAGTACCACAGCCACAGGCTCAACCTCAGCTGCAGCCGCAGGTACAGCCACAGGTACAGCCACAGGTGCAGCCACAGGTGCAGCCTCAGACACAGCCACAGCCTCAACCTCAGCCACAACCACAACCACAGCTGAAGCCCCAGCCTCAACCACAGTTGAAGTTCCAACCACAACTGCAGCCACAGCCAAAACTGCAGCCACTTTTGCCCGCGCCGACAGCCCACCAGCAACTGCAACTCCCAGCACCCGTGCCTGCGCCCATCACGCCTTTGATAACACCCGGGACGCTCTCGTATTCGGCTGCCTCTGCACAAGCAATGCCAGCACCCAGTCCCTCGGCATCGATCAAGCCAATGAAGCCAGAGCCTGCTGCGCGTCCGGCGGCCCAGCTCGATGAGTGGACCAACAAATACGCGGATTTCTTGACACGTCATAAGACCAATTTGACGCCCATTAGCCTGCGTCCCAGGGGCCTGACCAATCGCTCAAACTATTGCTACATTAACTCTATACTCCAGGCGCTGCTGGGCTGCTCGCCGTTCTACAATCTGCTGCGATCGATACCCAAACAGGCGGCGGTCCTGAGTGACGTGAAGACGCCCACAGTGAATGCCATGTGAGTGAGGAATAGAAAGGGGGGGAATGGGAGTCGAGTGCCACAGATAAGTCAACAGACACCAAAGCAGCTTGCTGACGTTTGTGTTACGTTTGTGGCAGAATAAATGACACGCGGCTTCGCTATGCGTTCAGTGCGTTGTCTTCGTTCTGACGGCAATCGCTGGGCGTTGGAGTCGCGTGCACGTGCTCTGCTCTTTCCAGCAGAGAGTCTTTCTTTTTATAGAGACTCTCTTCAGAAGCAGGCACAAACATGAATGATAATCCCCGACTTGGAGAGTATTCTAATGATTTTTTTTCTACTTTTATAGGATGTCTTTTATGACCAACTTTTCATCGCTGCCCAGTGGCCTGCGTCTGCGTTTGAACACCCTCAATAAGGCGGCCCAAAACAAGGGCAAAGATGAATTTGCCGGCACGGATCTGCAATGCGATATTGCCTTTGAGCCCACGGATATCTACAAGCTGTGGAACGATAGCCGCGAAGAGCATGTCGAGGGCCGCCAGGAGGATGCCGAGGAGTTTTTAGGCTATGTTTTGAATAAACTCAACGATGAGATGTTGGAGGTAAGCTATAGACAGATATTATATTAGTTACAATGAATATTGAGGTTTCTTTTTCTCTTTTTTAGGTAATAAAACTGATTGCCAAACCCGTGCCTCAACAGAATGGCCAAGAGCAGCCGGAGTCGGAAGATGGTGGCGAGGTCTGGCAGGTAAGTGAATGACTTGAAGAGAATTTCTTTCTTTAATTGAAATCCTCTCCTTAGAAGATCTGCAACAATCGCAACAAGGGCAGTGTCACACGCCAAACAGATTTTGGACGCACACCCATCAGCGACATCTTTCGCGGAGAATTGCGCTCCCGTTTGCAGCGCGAGGGAGAACACTCCACGGATGTGATTCAGCCGTTCTTTACTCTCCAATTGAACATTGAAGTGAGTACCGAGAGAGTGCGTACTCTAGCCAAAGAACTACTAATCCTTAAACGCTGTTTTTCTAAACCACAGAAAGCCGCTTCTGTCAAGGAAGCTCTAGAGATCCTGGTGGGTCGTGATCAAATAGAGGGCGTCACTGGCAGCAAGACCAAACAGGAGGTAGTGGCCTGGAAGCAAATGACCCTCGAAAAGCTGCCAGTTGTACTGATATTGCATTTAAAGTACTTCGATTACCGATCCGATGGCTGCACAAAGATCCTAAAGAAAGTCGAGTTCCCCGCCGAACTGAAGATCGATGCCAGTGAGTGCCAGTCAGTCGCATATTTTGTATCCGGATATTAATCATCTTTCTTGCAGAGATACTTGGCTCAAAGAAGACCTCACAGAAGCAGCGTGCCTACCGCTTGTTTGCTGTTGTCTATCACGACGGGAAAGAGGCCTCCAAGGGGCACTACATTACGGATGTGTTCCACACGGGTTACAATAATTGGCTGCGCTATGACGACAGCTCGGTGAAACCGATTAGCGAGAAGCAAGTGCTGCAGCCGCATGCGCCGCGGGTGCCTTACCTACTCTACTATCGTCGCTCAGATACGATACAGCATGCCACACAGCCGCACCAGCAGGCAAATGGGGGAGCTGCATCGGGAGGCGTTGTGGGAGGATCAACAGCCAATTCGGACGCCAATAAGTGAAAGAAAAATTGTAAAATATATCAGTTGTACCGATAACTATAAGTGTTAGGCGATATAGAGTGAGCGAAAGTGAGAGAGAGAGAGAGAGCGAGCGAGTGAGTGAGTGAGTGAGTGAGTGAAAGAGTTTGGTTTTTAGATGCATATACATATACAAATAACATAGCGATTAAGATATATTCAAGCCGTATATTAAGCCAAAAGTCCAAAGCGCATGTGTGCGAAGAGAAGTGTGTGAGTGAAGCAAGGAACTATAGCTCTAAGCTTAAGAATTTAGCGATTAAGATGACTTCTTGAAACGAATTCGTTGTACAAAGAGTAGCGAGAAGACGGCGGATGAAATCGTTGTACAACTAGTAGCGAGACAGAGTAGAAAGAGAAAGAAAAGAACTCGTAGCAAGTGAGAACGAACACTCGTACAAAGAGTAGCAAGAGCAAAAAACGAACACTCGATAAACTGAACAGCGAGAGAAAAAATATCATCTATAACTTAGTTCTAAAGAATAACTAGTTCCCCCCACTTTCCCCCATTTCTTAAACCATTTCTCCACGGCACAAAACAAAAAACTACTCTAGCCATTATTGTTAGTCAGTGTATAGCCCCCCCCACCCTAGAATTCTTTGATTTATGACAAAACATTTAGAGCTGTAAATATTATACGATTTAACTATATATTGTACTGCAGTTTTTCGTGTGTGGCATGCAGCATGTGCATTTAGACGCCCAACAATATATATGGAATGCTTTGAATATGCTTTAAAAAGAATATATAGAAACCAGAAGACTCTCTTCCGATTGAGAGCAACAACCAGATCATAGAACCTACAACAAACACGTTCATCTTGTAATTTATTATATTATGTTGTTTAGTTTTACTTAGAAATCCGTTTAAGGACAGGCATATATGATATATTATATCTATATATATATACACACAAATTGTTATGCATAGTTAGTCAAACGTCCAACGCGACAGATGGGATACATGAATCATAATACAGATTTGGATTCGTTGTGTTTGCGCCTTTATGATATTCGAACACCACATTTTGCTTAGGTCTAGGGTCGCATATGTAGCATACTTTATACATAGGTTTATATAACACCATAGAGAATTGTTTGTGGGGATTGAAAGCAAAGAAAATCAGAACTAACAAAACAAAACACTAATCAATCATTTACATATATATTTTCATATGCTATATAACACCGTATATATTATTTATAAATATCGTGCCAATGTTTAAAAAAAACATCTAAAAAAAAGAAACAAAATTTTGTAAAACTTGTCAATGCTTTGTAAAGTCATTCGGCTAAACGATAAGTAATATATGATTATTAATCGATATATATATATATATAGATCATCATCATCGATATATGTGCTGATACCAGACAAGCGCTGACATTTAAATGGATGTATGAACTATTCATGGATCCATATGATTGTCACGACTTTTGAAATACAATATATTCTTAAGATAGGAGATCATTGACACATACACACACACACACACACACACAAACGCAGATATGACGTACTAATATAACCAATATAAATCCATATATAATATATATATTTTGATGTTATACATACACACACAAACACACACACACACACATATGAATTAATTGTAAGCCCAAAATTATAGGAAAGCATTTTTTTTTTATAGAAATTTGTACGCGTCGTCTAAGCGTTCAGCTAGCTAAAAAATAGGTTCCTAAAATTATACAAAAAAAAAAACCAGATAAAAATAACAAAAAAAAACACCACAAAACATAAGGGAAAATACCACAAAAAACAAAAGGAAAAATGTTAGAATCGTAAATGGAAACCAATAAGCAAAACCGTAATATTTATAATATAATGGATAAATTGTAATCTAAAGCCAAGCTAAAAAAAAAACATCAACAATTAAACAACAACAAAAAAAACTAACATTATAATACATTTAACTATAAATACAATTTATAAAAGAAAAAAAAAGAATACCAACCAAGCGAGAAAATTGGTGGCAAAAGACCTGAAAAATGTATCGGAATAATGTTTATACCATATAAATAATGTATATTTTTGCAAGCGAAATTATAATGTCAAACATAGAAGCGAAACGAAACGAAAATGGAAGGAAGGACCTGTAGGATAAAGCGATATATCGATCATAAATCGATAATAAAGACGTAAACATTTTCGCATATACATATTATTATATATATATATATATCAATTTTTTTTAAAACTTTTTTTGTTATATAACTTATGGAATAATCCAAAAAATATGTTTTATTATATATATATATTTTTTTTTAACTAAAGAGCGTTTTTTTTTGTCACACTTAGCCCGGTGCGACAGTGCGTGTCATAGCTGTAAGTCGATGAGAAAACTGAATTTATATTTTAAACAATTGTATATCCTTTCTCCATTGCCTTAATTCAAAGAACGCCTTAATTCAATGATCGCCTTTTACGATATATTAGTGTTGTGTTGCTCATGAACAAAATGGAGTTGTTCACTTAAGTGAGCAACTGAACATGTTCCTTCCAAGCTGTTCTTTTTGTTCACTTGTTCTTTGTTGTTCACTTGTTCTCTACTCACTTTTTGCGCAATTTTGCTCCTCAAAGGGCATATTGCGATCTGAATAGTGAACAACTGAGTGAGCAAGTGAGTAACTGAGCAATCTAAGAGAGCAAGTGAGCAATATGAGTGAACTTACTTAAAAAAAGAAACAAGGAAACAACTTACTAAAAAAGAACAAGTGAACATGTTCACCAAAATGAAAATGAAACCAACACTACGATATATCTATTTTTCTGAAACAATTGCTAGCGACGTGTGGTTGTGAAACGCACTGTACACTTTTTAATAATTTTTCCCCATTTCTCGTGTTTTCTTTGCTAATTTGTTTGTGCACGATTTGGCATTGTGTTTGTCCCCATGATTTCATGTACGACTTAGTCCTTAAGTAGTTTCTAAGGCTGTGTAACTAAAAACTAAAAACAAGAACATGTACTAACAAAAAAACAAAAAAGAAAACAAAAAACAAAAACCTATGGCTTACGGACATACCCCTTTGATTGGTTGTTGTATTTGAGTTTAGCGCCGTACAATTTTTGTTTATTTTGAATATGATTTCGAGGCGAGGCGGGATAAACAGAAATTGGCAAGTGCACTTACTAAACGTATAATGAAATATAAATGAAGTACATATATAATGAATCGATTATAAAAGCCTAAGCTCTAAGTACGATACAAACTAATATTACAATTAACAATTTTTTGTAAACCATTTTGTAAGGCTTGAGCCTTTTGATTTGAGCCGCAGGGTCAGAATGGTCCCCCGAAGCGAAAGGTCAGAAGGGGCCCAAAGCAAAGGGCTATAAAAGGCTCAACACCAATGGCCAGAAAAGCAAAACAAAAGTGTTAAAGAAACACACAAAATCAAAGTGAAGCAAAGCTAAGAAAAATGAAAGCAAAAGCTGAAATAATTAGTCCACATTTTAGTCTAAACAAAAACGAAACATACCAAGAAGGGTTAAAGCTAAAGTAAATCTACAAACTAAAATCAAGAAAAGCTAAAAATGATACACGGAAACACAAATTGTAACATGGATTTGCTATATAACAAAACTTAAACTAAACAAACGAATGAGAATGAGAATGAAATGATTATCTAGCAATAAAAATAAACAGAATGATTTCATTTATACAGATCGCAAGCGATCTATCGATTTGGTGGAGAGAAGAGGAATGGCGGGAGAGAGCTGTTTGCTAATTTATGCCAAAAATAGGTCAACACCTGAATATGCTACTCGGAAAACCAGTTTGGCAGATGGGCTGGCCGATCATCGCGGGCGTTCCCGAAAGTGAGAGGAAAACATAATCTGTGATTTGTATGCGAGTTTTGGGTGATTTCTTTTCTGACGACATCTTTTGACTGGGACTTGTGACTCATTATGAATGCCAAACACAATCCCCGCGACTATGTGTAAACCCGTTTTGAGCGAGAGAAAAGAAGAGTGGGAGCCTCTTCAATCAGCTGGCAACGAAATGCATTCGTTGCGCTGTTCAAAACATACACGATCACTCTCCCTGCCAGTGATTGCCTGAAATCCAACACGGAATGTATCGCAATGTGCTCTGCCTGGTGCTGGGCCTGGTCATTGGCATACGACTGACGGATCTCTTCGATTACCTGCGACTCACTGATAGCCGCGACTATGCCCTCACCCAGGCCCCCGCTGCCACGCCCCAGGTCCACACTGAAACAAAAACTGAGACGGAGGCGGACATTGCCGCGTGGCTGTTTAATGAAACGCGAGTGCTGTGCCTCGTGCTGACAATACCCCAGTGGCACCACAGTAAGGCCGCAAAGGTGAAGAACACATGGGGTTCGCGCTGCAATAAGTTGATATTCCTGAGCAGCGAAGAGGACAAAGAACTGGGGGCCATCGATGTGGGTGTGCCTGAAGATCGTAAAAATCTATATGCCAAAGTTCGCGCCGGCTTTGCGTACGCGTACAAGCATCATGGAGAGGATTACGATTGGTTTCTCAAGGCAGATGATGATACGTGAGTGGGACGAGCAAATCTTTTGAATCTCCTTTAAACATCTCTTCTTTTTCAGCTTTATAATAATGGAGAATCTGAGGTACTTTCTCTACCCCTACGATCCAGAGGCTGCTCTTTATTTTGGTCACAAATTCCACACCGATTTCCCGCAGGGCTACATGTCTGGTGGAGCAGGCTACGTGTTGAGTCGTGATGCCCTGCGGCGACTGAATCTCTTTGCGCTGAATAACACCCGTTTCTGTCCAGTGAATACGCTGTCAGAGGATCGGCAGATAGGCAAGTGCCTGAGGAATGTGGGTGTTGTGGCAGGAGACTCTCGGGATGAGGAGGGACAGGAACGCTTTTTGCCGCTGTCCCCCAAGCATTTGGTGCCCCATTTTCCCACCACTGGATGGCTGAGTGGCTTGGTGTTCTATAAGCCGGTAAGAGATACTACTTCTGTGGATCAGAGATTCTTCTTTATTAAAGATGCTATCATCCTCAGACGGAGACCTGCTGTTCGACCACTGCCATCAGCTACCACTACGTCAAGGACTTTGAGTTCGAGATCTACGAGTACTTGTTGTATCGCCTGCGCGTCTTTGGCATACCCGTGCCCCAGCGAACACTACCCATGCGTCTGCCACAGCAACAACTGCAAAGACAGCTGGAGATCTGGTCCAAAGAAAAAACTACAAATCATAAAAAGGGATAATCGAAGGTTATGTTTATGTGAGAATAAGAGCTTTTTGATGTGGAATTATTTTACTAAAGCTCCTTTAATTTCAGGTAGATCACATTGCTGTAAGATGTGGATGAAACGGAAGAACAAGGACTCAAAACTAGACCTAAATCATGTTAGAATTTGTTTAAATTATATGCGCAAGTGCTGCGAGCAGGAGGAGAAAACAAAACTGTGATTCGAATTGACTTTGCCCCGCTTCTTAAGCCTCAAAACAACGTCTGGGATCTCCTCTACAGGTGGGGATTGATGGAATGACCAGAGCTCGTTGCATTACTATGGAGCACCGTTCTCTAAGGTTTGAACCAATTTTCGGCATGCGACAGTCTTCTGGAAGCTTTTGAGAGTAAATAGCAAGGAAATTGGTCTCCAGAGAGGAGAATTCGGCAGACTGAATGCCATCTGAATGACGAGGAACAAGCGTAAGGATGTGCCAAATATAAGAAGCGGCAATCGGATTTTTCCACAGGACCAATGTGAGATTATCATTCGATCGTTTTGATTTATTTCTTCAGATATCCAATTCTTGCGTTTCAGAGGACCGATTGCTGCTCAAGCTCTCTATTGCTCTGCCACCGCTCCAGAGGGGACTTCCTGCACGTCTGTTCTTTGGGTATACGCTGGATTTTAAAGGGTTAAGCGATGTTGAAGGAGTATAGCAGCAGGGAAACATACTGTATCTACTAAAGCCATTCTCTCGCCTCTCCATTCCATACCTTATGTTAGTCCCCTATATTCCTATAATTACTACATCCATTAAACTGTACAATAAATGTATTATAACTTAAGAACGTAGGTAGATCTCAACCACTGCGGCACTGTGCTTCCGTGAGTGAATGCATTTGCTGCGGCTATCAAAGGTTGAGCCGTGGAAAACGATCTTCTGTTGCGGCTCCCACAATGATTCGCAATGCCTTGGGGCAAGTGCTCGGTCTAAACTTGGGAATACGCCTGACGGAATACTGTTTGAGACGTTTTCTCGGAATCTTCGATAATATTTGGCCACTGACAGAGGTCGGACTTCCGGGAGGGATATATGCATGGGGGAGCGGTGCTATGCATCGCTTGAATTTGTTCGATTTTAATGGAAGTAATATTTGTGATCCCAAATATAACGCCCTCTTCGCTTTGGAGAAAAGGAATTAGTCCTTTGCTGTATTGGGGGATTGGAATCACTCCTTATTCGCTTTGGAGGACACGCATCTCTCATCCTCATCTGAAGACAGAGCCATGGGTCTGTGCCTGAAGCATGTGGGAGTGATACCCGGCGAGTCCCGCGATGGCCTTAACCAAGAGCCTCCTCTTGCCGCAGTGGCTGATGCCTGGAACTGGCCCATGGAAGCGCTACACTTTTTTCTGCCCCTCTTAGCCCCGAAATTGCTGTTCCACTGCCTTGATAAGCCTTTATTCAGCGAATGGTTTGGCCTTTGATCTGATGGAGTATTTTTTCTATAAAGTAAGGATTTTTGGAGACCACAGGCCTCTGCAGAAACTGCCGCCACGCCTGGGCTTCAGGGAAATGCATTCCCTGCTGCGCTATTGGTCCCAGGTGGTGTCCGATAACCTGGAAAAACCTGGGGCTTAATGTAATTGCTACACTTTGAGATAAATAAAGCAAGAGGCAGCGACGATGAAGATTTATTCCCATCAATAAGGCAAAACCAATTGTTGTCTTTGGCTCCAACGTCTCTTCTGCATTCTCCCCTCCTTTGGGGGGGCTGTCCTGTCCGCTGGCATTGCTTTGGCCATTTGTCAATGCGGCTGGCCCTTCGCTTTAAAGCACAATTTATCAAAAAGGGCCGCGTGCCACATACTCATTCCCCACATCCACATCCACCTCCTCCTCCTCCTCCTCCTCACCTTTTGTTGGATAAGCAGGGAGGAAAATTGAGGAATCGAGAACCGGAAAATCGAGTGAAACGTGCCAAACACGTGAAAAATACCTGGGGATCATTGCATTGTTATTTATGAGCATCGAAATGAGGCTCGAAATGAACTGCACGGGGAAGAACAGAACTCGAGGCATGCGGCATGCGGCATGCGGCATTCGGCACGCGAGTGCCTTGACTCCTCGGATAAAGGATAAACTCGTTTTTTGGCAAAGCAGGGCAGCTGTTTATGTACCGCTATCTAGAGCTATTCAGAGGGGTAGAACCGTGGAACGTGCCGCCGGTCCCTGAACCCCCAGGTTGCGCCTGCGCAGCGCCCTGCCTCGCCTCGCCTCGCCTCGCCTCGCCTTTCATCGTTAATATGTACATAATTCTACATTTACATTTTAGACAAATATGAGCCGAAAGGGAGCTTTTCCCTACGCAGATCCCTTGTGCGTTATCCCTATTCCGTGTACCCATTCCTGTGTTCGATGTAAATGAGGTTGTCGTTGCCACCACACACGTGCGCCGCCTGGCCAACAGGCCGTGAACACAGGCTCCTGGCTCTTGTTCCCCGCTGTCTGACAGATTTCTGGGTGGAACTGCTATCAGTGCCGTTGCGATAAAGGTTCGGCCAGGCAGCAGCTGCTGACTTTTCCATGAATTTAGGGGAGTTGAATGTAGGATGTAGGGAGTAGGGAGTAGGGAGTAGGAAGTAGGGAGTGCCTTTTGTAAACACAACGGGGCAGAAACAGGATATTTTTTAAATAATCCATCGATGCATTTTATGATTTCCAAAAATAGCCCTGCACATTCTACACTCGACATTACATTCTACATGATTTGATTACATGACACTGCACCTACACCCGCACTCTTCATTTACCCCTCTCACAAATACCTGCACCAGAAAGTGCCCTATAAACGTTCGCTTAGTGGGAGAGGGCGGAGTAAAGGAGGAGAAAAGTTCGCTCTTCTCAGTTCGTGCAGTGGAGAGCGAGTCAAAGAAAAACCACAAACAATGCGGATAAGCTATGGAAGAAGCAGTAAAAGAAGAGTATGGTTATACGCGTGCATAGCAGAAGAGAGTGAGTGGGAGAGAGCAATTATATGCAAGCGTTGAAATTATGCAAGGTGATCTGCTCAGTACAACAGCCAACTTCGTTCTCCCTCTCTCAATAAAACTAGCGTCAAAGCGCTCTCAGTTGTGCTGAGCGTGAAAGAAGACACGAAAAGAGAGTTTGCCGACCACCTTGTAAAATTTCATTATGCGCCGCCTACGCATCTCTTGCGCTCTCACAGCTTCCACAGTTCCCCCCCGCCCTTCATTCAAAGCGCAAATCGTTTATTCGGAAATCAAACTGGCGTTGTTTTGTTGTTTCGGGCCGTGAAATGCGGGAAAATTATGAAAATTTGTCGGGAAAAATTGTCGCGCAGCTGTGCAGTGCAGTGTACTGTAAGTTAGGGATTGAAAACACAACAAAAAAGTTTAATTTTTAGTGTTTTTAGTGCAGAATAGAGTGAAAAAGTGGCGTGCTTAAGCAGAGGCTGATCGTGTGCAAATGCAGTGGAACAAGCAAAACATATTATGTACATAGATTTAATGTATTTATTTGTTTTATTTTTTGTGCAATAAGCCATTCCGTTGTGTCTCGAATGTTTTCATTTGGTTGTTTCGCCGGCATGTGTGTGTGTGTGTGCGCGTGTGAAAGAATGCAAGAAGAAGAGAAGCAAAAACTAAAGAGCAAGCGCTGCTTATCTTCGCCGCTCTCCTTCCGAATGTCACTCAAATAGAGATGTGATCTCCCTCTCTCTCCCGAAGCTGAGCAAAATAAGTGAGTATGCGTGGAAGTGGGCGTGTGCCAAATGTGTACTCTTATTCGAATTATGGACAAAAGATAAGGGAAAGAAAAAGAGTGTTTCTGTTTCTGCACAACTAGCCTCCTTTTAAGGATCATAGCTCCTAAACCAACTCTGCCACGCCTCTATGCATCAATCCTCCACTCAAAGATCTGACACACCTTCTTCCTTTCCAGAGGAACAACCTTGATTCATTCCCGTCCATTAACCTTTTGAAGTCCTTCCCCCATTAACTATTCAACGGCCGCCTCATTGGCTTCTCAAATGCTTCATTGCGTTCTTCCTGGGCATCTAAACGGCTCACCCATCTAATTAGTTGCATTCCTCAGCTTCGACTTCAATTCAATCCTGCCACGCCTTCCACTAAAAACACAAAACCAAAAGAGAAGCACAGAGAGAGAGATAGAGAGAGAGGGGGGAGACCGAAAGGACTTCCCTGGGCGACATGATGTCTGGCAGGAACGGTTTACACACATTTCAACGACGATGTCTTATAATCAATTTAATGGCTTCTTCCCCCCCCCCCTGCGAAAAGGGAACGGAACGAATACGAAGCGGTTTCCCCTCGAGAAAGGAACCAGACCACGAACAGAGGATTCCCCCTAAGACGGTGTCGGTGACGGTGACGGTGACGGTGTCGGTGAGGGGCAGGGGTAGAAAAACGGAGGAGGAGACGAGGGTAATAAGTCGTCGCCGACTGAGGGGCGTTTCAATTTGTATCCTAAAGTGAAACCTACAATTGGCACCACTTTTGCAGCCAAAGGAATTGCCTCTTTTATGGTCTCATTTTCTCTGGTTTTCTTCTTGGCTTGCCCCTTCTTGCCGCAAACTCAATTAAGTGACGAATGAATGGATGGATGGCTGTATGAATGGAGGGTTCCCTAAAAGGACAGCGACAAGGCGCCTCTTGCGAGGGTCTTGCGAGGGTCTTGCGAGGGTCCTGCGAGGCATGTAAATGCCAGCACACACAAGGCGGAGGGAGGGGGAGCCGATGGCACGATGATGACTCAACAATGTCTTGAACGTGTTGCTTTGCTTTCCTTCCTTCCGGCAAAGGAATGCCTGCCATGCCCGCGCTGCCTCTTTCAAGGAATGCCACACAACCCTCAACCCTCGACGGCAGCAGCAAGCAGCAAGCAGCAAACTATCGAGCAACCCCTAAAAATGCACTGACTTCTTGGCGGCGCGAGGGTTCTGTTCTTTGTGCCTTCTTGGGTTTGAGGCTCTCGCCCGCCTTCCTCCTTTGTGTGTCTCGTCAGTTCTTGTGTCTCCGAAGGGGTTCTCCTGACGCGTGCCACGAAAAGGGGGAAGACTGTGGCCCGGCACAAATGTACCTGTAGCTGGGAGGATGGGTTCTGTTCTGTTTCGACTGTTCTCTGACTCATTGGCATGTCCTCGTACGGCAGGAAGTGCACGTACAGAAATTATTGAAAATTATAGTTGTGGAAAACTTAAAAAAACCCCAACGGAGCGAAGGACACGTGCAGGACAATCGTATGCAAAAAAAGGACTTCCCGGAGAGGAAGTGGCAGCCATGCGTTAAATTGAAGCCTGTGCCAAATCAATTAAAAAACAAAAAAACAAAAGAAAACACTCGTGCCCCAAGCCGTTGCTTGTTTGTGTGGCAGTTGCATGGCAGCATTCTGTCGCAAGCGGCACGGGGACACGGGCCTTTCCCCCGGCTTTCCACAGTGGTTTTTCCGGCCAGCAGCAGGACTGCGATTCGAATTCTGATGCACTCGGGCAGTCCAGCAGCTGCCGCGGATGCTCTTTGCGAATGCGCCGCACAAAAATCACAAAAATCAAAATACCTTTACACATGATTTATCCCTGAAGCACCGAAAGCGGGTATCCTTCCCCCTTCCCCTGCCCCTTCCCCGTCCCCTTCCCCCTGTGTCTGTGTGTTCGTCTGTCGGCGTCTGCGTGTGTGAGAGTGCGGCAGCTGCAACCCAACCTCCCCTTGGCCCTTTCCCCTGTCGATCAGAATGCTTTTACTTTTGCCCTAAAACCCAATCGAAGCACACAATCAACCCCTGGGTCTGGTCTCTGGTCCAAACCAAAAAATCAACATTTGCGCCCTGCCTTCTCCTCCCATTTTAATGGGGTGGCTGCATCCCCTCTGCATCCCCTGCATCCCCTGCATCCCTGTCGAAAGTTCCAATTTTCCAGACTCTTTCTTCAGTTTACAAAATTTTTGGAAATTATATAGCAAATCTCTTTGGTTTCGTGCTCAATTGGAATATTTCTATGTTTCTTTTGTTTCGCAGCAGCGGCAGCGGCAGCGGCAGCGGGAGGCGGAGGTGTATCCTAATTATGTCCTGTGTCCTGCATCTGCGTGTGTGTCCATGGGCATGCCATGTACCAAACGAGTAGAACGTGGGCAAGTCTCTTCGAGTGGAACTAATGTCGGTGGAACGGATATGCGATCGAGTGAAAGGTACGGGGAGTAACTAATTTACAACAGACATCTGTCGTTTCTAATGATTGCTTTCTCCAACACTTTCTCTCAGCAATCGCGGGAGGCCGTGCACTTGTTTCAGTGGAGAGCTCTAGTGGGAGTCACAATACCGTGTGAATTGGGAAACTGGGAGAATTTCCAACTTCAAAATGCACTCTAATTGCAGTCTCTTTGAATTATTATCTGTAAGATGTTTGCCTCTTGACGTTTGGCTGGGGCTACCAGACCTCTCCACTAAATCCATATTTAGCCGTGAGACAATCATGACTAAGGGTCGTAAATAGCCCTACCTTTATCTTGACACACTACCTTTTTCTATTACCACGTCCGACTATGTAAAGCGTCGGATGTTTACTGTTTTTACCGAGTGTGTCTGATAAGAGGCTACCAGATAAGCGGGCAGATCTGTGGCTATAAAGGCAGCCGGCCCGAACAGCATCCATCTAGTCACCGAAGACAGATACATCAGAATGCAGATCCCTGCCGCTTGGACACTCGTGGGACTCTGCTGCCTGGTGGCAGTCACCTACTCCGCACAGCTGGCTCCCCTTCGAGCTGCCGCTGCTGCGCCCAGACCCGGGCCACCGCCCAGCACTCTGGCCCTAGAGCTGCGTAGCATCTTCCGGCAGATACCCAGGAAGCAGATCGAGAAACTCGTGCAGGCCTACATCCTCAACGACGAGGAGTTCCAGGGTGTCGTCAGGGACATCAACTCCCTGCAGGCCTACCGTCTCAGTCGCCAGTTGGCGGCGCAGCCCGAGGTGCGGCAACTGCTGCAGTGGCTCTCCCAGCAGCTGATTCTCTCGGGCAGCTCCCTGAAGATCTTCGAGGACTTGGAGCTGGAGATCAAGGTGATCAACAAGTATCCGCAGGCCTCGCAGTTGGTGAACGGCATCCGCGGCTTCGAGCTGGAGTTCTTCCAGATCTATCCGCTGGAGCTCATCCGTTCCCTGCTGGAGCCCAGTGCCACACAGTCGAGTCCCGCTCTGGCGGAGCTCTGGCGGCGTCTGGTGGCCCTGCTGCCTGCCTACGAGCGCGTGACTGGCTCTCCAACGGGAAAACTGTTTATCCAGAAGCTGCAGACCCGAGGCGTGGCTGTCCAGGATGTGGATGCCCTTATACGGTATCAGTTTGGCTGGAGCAATGCCACTCTGGGGGGAGCAGATTATCCCGGCTACGATTATCTGTACTACTAGAGAAAGTCCACAACTAGACTCCGAAAGACACCCCCTTTGTTTTTTGCTTGCCTAAAAGTCCGTGTATTATATTCTTATACCACTTATAATCATTTAATCACCACTATATTCTGTGTAAAATACACTCTAAATATACCACCTTCCAATGGAATCCTATTCTATATTCGTATTGTCGAAATCTTCGTTGAAGTTTCGAGTATTTGCCCCTGAAGAGCGCACAGAAAATGAGTGCAAAATCGAAAAATTTCCTGAAAAACACTCAACCCTAAGACGACGACTCTGGCATGATTTGAGCGCCTGCCTGTCGGTCCATCGTCTCGCAGCGAAAGTCCCCAAAAAAACAAAGCAAAGACTGTGCAAAAAATTCTGTTTACGGCTGATAAATATTTTTGTGGGCAGTTCCCCGAAGGCAATGCCAAAAAATGATCTAGAATTCTCGGTGTTTTGGCATGCGTGAGCGATCGAAGGAACAGAGTACATGTACGCGTATAGGAAAATGGATTATACATTCCCAAAACGTATAAAGACCAATGAATGCTGCTGTTCCATCAATTATTATAGAAAATCATATACAATTTTCTGTACTTCTGGTATAGTATCAATCGACAATCAATTTAATTCCACATCTTCTCTGATGTGAGACCTGGTGGAATACCAGCGCAAACCGAAGTCCCACGAAGGCTAGCCATCTGTGCCATCGAATGGCAATAAATATCAGTGCCTGCTCAAAGGTCGCGTGGGGCAGTACGACAGGACGGGGAAGGGGAAGGGGGACGGGGACGAGGGACAGGGACAGGGACAGGGACAGGGACACCCTTGCTGCGAAAGGTATGGTATCCATGGCAATGCCATGATTAAGTAACAGATGAGCCATGGCCGTGTGCCCTGCCCTGCTCTGCCCTGCAATGTGTCCTGTGCTCTGTTCCGTGGATCGCACATGCGATTTAATTGAAACAAACCAAACAGGAAACGAAGAGGCATGGGCAGGGGGCAGGAGGCAGGAGGCAGGAGGCAGGAGGCAGGAGGCAGGCGGCAGTGCCAGAGCCAGAGCCCCGTCGAATGGGGTTGCTTTTGTAATGAAGTTCCTCATTAAGCGGCGACGGGTAGAATCGCTGGATTCGGAATTGCAACGGAAACTAGTTAATGCTCTGAGAGGCCCATTGTCAAAAGCAGAAGCGCAAGTCGTGCAATTTTCACACAGCAGCAGAACAGCAGCACCACTGAAGGGGAATCCTGTGCACAGGATCTTGGCAAACGAAGGGAGAATACTCGTATTTCTCCCCCTTTTCCTTCTGCCTCGCTTTTTGCGGTGAACGCGTCCAATTGGAATTTTATATATCACATTGTCCGTCAGATAAGGGGGTAAAAATGTAATATTTTATATTCGCCTCCCCCCTCCCCCTCCCCCTCCCCACTGTGGCTCCTGGCTCCGAACCCTCCCTATGGGCATTCATAGCACTGTGACTGACATGCGGCGGCGGCGGCGGCGGATATTCGAGTACGAGGCTTAGAACGGACCCGGACCCGGACCCGGACCCAGACCCGGGCATAGCTGAGCAGAGCAGAGCTCTCCTCCTGTGCGGTGCAGTGCCACCCCTAAAGCGCCGAGTGACGCGCGAGTATTTTTATTTAAAAAACCCCCCTATTGAAATCAGCAACAGCCTTAGAGACCTCAGAACTGAGCCGCCCGACCGCCCAAAATCCCGAAACGCAGTGCAGGCTAGAAATCGCGCTACGCTTGAGCTCTGCTTTATGGCCACTAGCTACAGTGGTGACTGGCTACAGAGGCAGATGCATAAATAAATGAAGAAGTTCTTTAAAGGGAGGAAGTCCACCTACTGAAAGGCGTCCCGAGGTGAATGATTTTCACTTGCCAATAAGAAAACGACGAAAATCCAACAAAATCTTTGCCGTGATGTGTGTTTCCTGTAAGTCCCTTCCCTTATAGTCATGCCTCACTGCCTGTCTGTCTGTCTGTGCCCCTTGTGCACCCTTCGATTGGTGGTGCTGCTGCTGCAAGCACTCGTATGTGGTGGCTCGTGTGTTCTGTTGGGTTTTTGGTGTTTGAAAATGCACCTGGCTGAATTTTCAGCTTCGATTACGCTGCGGCCAGGCCACGATTTCCATGCTGGGGTTCGCACTGGGACTGCGACTGCGACTGGGACTGGGCCCGAGATTCGGGTGGTTGGTTGCATTGCATTGTGATTTCCCTGCCGCACATGCCGCTGTATGAGGCAGGCAGCAGCGGGGCCCGTGCCCGTGCCACGGAGCGGCAAGGACATTAGCAGGCGCAACAACAAATGAGCGTTGGTCGCCGGTCGCGTGCCCGAAGCACTTCGACACCCGACAGAATTGTGAATTGTGATTGTTTTTTGTGCTGTTCCTTTATGCCTTTACTATATTTTATTTCCTTGCTGCTTTTTGCCTTCGTGCGTCCTGCCCCCCCCCCCCCCTGCCTCTCCTTTGCCGCGATTCTGCTGCATGTGTGAGTGAGTGAGTGATTTGTGTGCCCCTGCGGCGCTGCACGCTGCACGCTGCATGCTGCATAATTTCGCCTTGACTCGAGCGGAACACATCTATAATTATGTATCCCCTGAATGCATCTAATTTTCCCCCCCACTTTTCCTGATTTTCCTCGCTTTTTCGACTGTTATTTGTTTACTTCGGTGGGGATCGCTAAGCTTTTCGGGGATTTTCCTGCTGCGTTTTGGGTTCTAGAAGAATCGAATAATTTGTGGCACTCTCTGCGGGGGGGTGGAGGCAGCATAATATCTTCCTTATGGCAGGAATCGCCCGAATCCCAATTAAAATATAATTCACGCCTCTGGAAGCCCAGAAACCAGACCCAGAAATTGCATGAAATTATGAAAGCGAAAAATGTAATTACAGCTCAGTGGCTGATGGAGATCCCTTCGGGGCACTGTAACCCCCAAAAAGGCAGCCAGCAGCCAGCAGCCAGCAGCCAGCATACAACAACCCTTCCTTCGACAATGGGGCACGGGACACGGGACACACAGGCAACATGTGCCACAAGTTGAGTGCATCCTCTCGAGGAGCTGCCCAAGCAGCAAGTGCTGTTGCACGCGACTCAAAAGAGGCTTTTGAGACGACACACAGAAATGGATGCAACGAATGCATTATGCCGCATAAACGATGCATTTTCGAACATTAATTATTGCCACAGGAGGAGGCGAGAGGGGCCGGGACTCCGCCAGGACGCCAGAAGACTCCAGAAGCAACAGACAGACAGAGAAAGGCGTGGGAGTGGGGCGCTGGATGGTGGCAATGGGATGGGAATTGCACTTGAAAATTACCATAAAAAGATGCACTTAAGGGTTAGGCATTGGGGCGATACAAACAACAAACAAAATGCGTAGCTAAAGAGCAGCAGGAGGCGGCAGGAGGCGGCAGCAACAGGAGTTTGGGCGGCATCATCTCTCTCCATGGGTTGTCCGGGTTGTCGTTGGTGTTTTTGAGTGCAAATTTGTGCCAAGTACGCCTTGGAGCGCAGAAATCAGAGCAATCAGCCAGGAGATTATCAGACTACACAAAGAGAAACGGGGGCGGCCCCTGAGAAACATCAAACAGAAATTAATTACATATCTTTAATTATATTTTTAGAAATGTGGGATCGTACCCGAAAATTCTGTGGTCTGTGGCCTACCAAAAGGAATGATCTTTAGTTCCTTCGTGGGATTTTGTTTGATGACTTCCAAAGGCTCAAATATTTATCCAAAATAAAGGTAAGTCCCATGACACCACATTTGCCGAATCAAGAGATAGTCCTATGATATTGAAGCCGGGTTTGATCAGGAGATGGTCCCCTGTGCTACCCTGGGGCATTGGACTGCACCCGCAACTGCCTAGATCTGAGTGGGTTCTTCTATCTATTTGGGGATAGAAGATCGTTGCCATCTGAAAGGATATAAATCACCTTCTGAAACATTACCAAAGATCCCATAAGCCTCCTAGAAGGAAGTTTCTCTCAATGAAATCTTGACAAATGAGGATCATTTCCATATCAAATAATGCCTATAAAATTGTGTAAATCTCCGCCAATGAAGCGATCATTCAGACACACAGAGATAGAGATAGAGATAGAGATAGAGAGAGGGAGAGGGAGAGATGTATGTGTTTATGTAGAGGACTTAAGGCTTTCCCTTAAGCCTTATTCAATTTCTGGATAATCTTCTTTCTTTTGATAGACAGACGACACCAGAACGCGGGGATTAATCACAAGCTTCCCAAGCGGAGGATTTCCCCCTTTGATTGCTTCATTTTGGGACTCACTTTTCTCTCACTTTATTGATGACAAAATAAAGCAGAGCAGCAGTCGGGGCTGAGCGGTCTAAAGGAGAACTTTCTGGCAGGACTTTCTGCCAGGAGGGTTGCCCTTCATCGAACATGGGGTTGGAATTTGCAGCGTCCCAGATCTATGTATCTTTTAGGCGGCAGGAAGGACAATGCTCGCGTGGCTGGCGCACTTCTGAGACGAGTCTCAGTCCCAGACCCAGACCCAGACCCAGACCCAGACCCAATCGACTTCCCAAGGATTCTATGGCTTTAGCTTTCGACTGAAGTTCGGGCGGGGGTCGGGTCGGGTCGGTTCGGTTTGGTTCTGTTCGGGATATGGATTCTATTTGTAATTCTAAGCTGCATGGCAAACACAACACAACACAGCACACAGATTGATTGAGAAGAGCCATAGAGCAGCAGGGCAGCAGAGCCACCCCCTGCAGGGCCCTGCTGCGATTGGGATCGCTCTGGGAATACTCTTTGGACACGAGACTGCTCTCTCTCTCTCTGCCCGTTTTGGGGTGGCGCGTTGCCATGTTGCACGTGCCTACCGTAAGAACAATGGCGTCGAATCGTTCGTTCGTTCTGTTCCTCCAACATACGAGAATAATATGCCATATTTTCAATGAGCCCTTAACGGGGGGAATCGAAAGTGCATTCCCTTTCATGGCAACCACTGCCGCTGCCACTGCCGCTGCCGCTGCCACTGCCACAGGACGATGTGGCGTCGCAACGGCGTCGCATTTCGATTATGTTTAATGGCAAAGCACAGGGCAGGCATACAGATACAGATACTCTCTACACAGATGCACAGATACTCCGCACACAGATACGTAGCGATTGTTTATGCTGAAGTTTTTTGTGTTGTTGTTGCTTTGGTGGTGAACTTTCGTCGACAGCAATGTTGTGCTGTGTCTGTTGTTGTATGCCACACGCCGCATGGTGTACCTACCCCACCAAAAGCAAACTTGACAACGAGCTTAGCCTTAGCCTCAGCCGCCACCAGGGTCTGGGGCAGGAGGCAACACCGTCTGTGGCAAGGGGCGAGAGAGAGAGCGCTGATAAATGCAGCTACATACACGCAGAGAAATCAGATGATTGTAGATCCCTCAGAAAAGCGGCGCCGATAGATACACTTGGAGAAATCGGATTGAATAAAGTTCGGTTTCCACTGGGAGAGGCATAAGAACCCCGATAAATCCATTAAGAAAGTGTACACTCAAAGAAATTCCAATGAATGTACCATTGCATCTCTTTTACACTTTACACTTGAAGAAATTTAATGAATGAAAAGACCTTTAACCTTTCAAAACCTTTTTGCAGACTACATATGTGTCTACATACATTTCACCTTTAGATACCTTTTTGCACTTGGAGTACACTGATTTCGACCTTCCGTTCCCCGTTCCCCGTTCCCTGCTGCAACAGCTGTTTTTCGTTCGGGAAGCAAACAAAGCAGCGGAAGGATCCCCCGAGAGGAAGGTTTTGGCCCGGCTCATTCATTTGGTTGCACGCTCAAAACGCTAGAGGTATCAATCGGTTGCACGCACAATTAACACGGGGTCTAGGAGGGGGAGGGGGAGGGGAGGTTTCATGGTGCAGCGTCAGCTGTTTTTGCGGCAGAAAGCGGAAAAGCAAGAGGAAAAAGATCATCATTGTTTTGGGCGATCGAATTTCCCTTGAAATATTTGCACAAACACTGAAAGAAGGTGCCATCATCCTTTGCTGGGCATTTTCGTGGTGCGTGGCAAAGGGAAAAACAGCTGCTTCCACATGCCACATGCTACATGCCATTTGCATGGCATTGATTTCTGCGAGTGCATTGTCCTTTGGCCGTTTTGCAGTAGAGGGAGGGAAAGGGAAGGAAAGGGAAGTAAGAGGGCAGATCAAATGAAAGGTGGAGGCCCTTCGAGAAAGGTAAGATCTCTCCTTGCCCCTTTTGGGGCAGATCTTGGGCCTTACCTTCTCCGGAATGTACCTTTCCTGCACAGGACTTTCACTGCCGGCAGGACTTTCCCCTTAGCAGTGGTCTCCTCTGTCTGCATTTTGTGGAAAAAAGGGTGACTAATGCGTGTGCTTGTGTGTGTCGCTGTGTGCTGGTGTGCTGGTGTGTGTGTGTGTGATTGCTAACAAAAGATTCCGGCTTTTGCGGCTGCCGGCAAAGGTCTCGTCTCTCTGCTAGCGCCGCTGCCGCCTTGCCGCTCTGCTAGCGTCTCTGCCCGCCAAGGACCTCTGCTCTGCTCTGCTCTGCTCTGCTCTGCTCCGCTCTGTGCAAGGGCTAAAAAGGACATCGAACGTCGCGTCGGGGCGGCTGTTGGGGGATGAAAGAGCGACGCAACGCCTGCCGCCGCTGCCGCCGCCGCTGCCGCCGTCGCCGGAATGATTTCCCTTTCGGTTTCGCTTTCCTTTGACATAAATAGCCGTGCGGGGCACCGCTCTCATTCATTCGCAGCAGAGACGTTGAGCGGAACGACAGCCAGGAGAACAGGAGACCGACCGTTCTTCGCCCAAAAGGAGCTTTGCCTCAGCCTCAGTTTTGCGCCTCAGTTTCTTGTTCTGTTGTTAAGTTTTTTTTGTTTGTGCTTAGTTTTCAAAAAAGTTTCCCAAGTTTCCCGTTCAATCGTTCAATCATTCCATCATTCCATCATTCATCGTTCTCCACGTTCAATCATTCTTCAATCCACGTTACGTTACGTTACGTTCACGTTTGCGTTTGCGTTTTTAAAGGTGCAACGCGTTTAAGATTTGTTGCCCCATCATTTCGTTTGACACGCGGCGGTGGCGACTCTCAGTGCAATGGCCACGCAGACACAGACACAGACACAGATACAGACACTGCTGCCACAGCAGACACAGACATCGACACTCTGCCACCCGCATAGTATTGGCATCCAGCTGCAGCACAAGGGCATGCCCCACGGTCTGGGGCTGCTCACCACAGTGGCCTCGCTGCCCCCGAAGTACCGCAGTCGCTATCTGAATCTGAAAAGCAAGTGTGAAATTCCGCTGGATCTCTCGGTGAAGCCGCCAACACCCACAATGGAGCTGCACGAGGAGGCGCTGCAGGAGGAGGTGCTGCATCCAATTAGCGACGGAACGGATGTTCCGATGGCCACCGCATTCGCTGAGGTTTACAGCAGCGAGGCCGTGGAAAAGGAGGTGCCAAAGGAGCAGCAGCGGGAGATGGAGGAGCAGACCACCATCACCCCACCGCAGAGTCCTGGTCCGCTGTTGAAGCGTAAATTGAGCGCCACAGAGGATGATGGCCAACATGCCGCAAAGCTTCCCAGAAAAAACATCGACGAAGAGGAGGAGCTGCCCTCAACGAGCAGGGCGGGGGCCCTCGTGGAGGCCACACCTGCCAAACCCATCAAAGTCTCGGACACGGCGCCCAGAACCACCAAAGCATCGACATCGGGCAAGTCCTCGTCGCGGAACAAGGCCACGCGGAAGCTGAAATTCGATGAAGAGACATCGTCCCCCGTTTCGGGTACCATCATACGACCCCTGGAGGACATCACCGACGGGACGATGCAGTACAGCAACGGGGACATTGATCCCAAGTACAACATCGTGGAGATCACCGAGGAGACGAAGGCAGAGCTGGCGGCCATCAAGAATGTCATCGGGGACTATGTCTGCCGCTTGTGTCGCATCAAGTTCGAGGATGCCTTCGGGCTGGCGCGGCATCGGTGTGCCTGCATTGTGCTGCTGGAGTACCGCTGCCCCGAGTGTGGCAAGCAGTTCAATTGCCCCGCGAATCTGGCCTCACATCGGCGGTGGCACAAGCCCAAGAAGGAGGCGGCGGGCGTGAAGAAGGAGAACCAGCAGCCAGCCGCATCGGCATCGGCGGCAGCGAAAGGAGGCGCCATCAAGAAGGCTGTTGTGGCTGAGGAGACTGCCACTGGCGGCGGCTATGATTGCTCCGATTGCGGCAAGAAGTTCAAGCGTGCGGCGTATCTCAGGAAGCATCAGCTGACGCACGCCAAGAAGGGAGCGGCAGCAGCAGCAGAGTCCGCCAAGGAGATGCCGCGGACCACCATCAGGGCGGTGTTCAAGGCCACGCCGTACAGCGGAGCCTCCTCCTCCAGCGTGGCCTCCTCCTCCTCCGCCAGCAGCACGCACTCGCACTCGACGCACGAGGATGAGGGCGTGTACGTTGTGGCCCCCACCGCAAACGGCACCAGAGCCACCGCCACAGCCGCCAGGAGCACCACCAGCAGCCACTACGAGGTCGACTACGATGCCGACTACATGTCCGACAGCAGCTCCTCGGCCTCCTCGGCGGGCTATGGCCGCCTGCAGATCGTGGAGCACGGCCTCACGGAGGAGGAGAGCATTGCGGCGGCGGCACTCACGAATCTAAGGAACTGCGCCTCCGTCATCCAGCACACAACGATGGCGCACTAAAGAGAGAGAGAGAGAGTCCCCGAGAGTCCCCGAGAGTGCACGAGAGTGCCCGAGAGTGAGTTTTGAGGTTGAGTTTTACTTAAGTTTTAGTTATAGTTTAAGTTTTAGTTATTAGCCATTAGTTATCCCCGCCCTCCCACAGAGGGGGCGGGTCTGCAGCTGAAACAAACCAAAGAATTTAGTTTTACACGAGGAAAACAACTCTTGCCTCCATTTGATCACTTAGTTACACACTAGTTAGTCGTAATGTTTATGTTTAGTTATCGATTTGGTTTCCATTCCACGAAATGAGTTCAATTCTAGTCAGAGTCTCCTTCGAACTTCCTTTGTCCCTAGTCCGTAGTCAGTGCTTAGTCAGTGTTTAGCCAAAGAATAGTGAGTGGCACTAGTCAGCTTCAATATGATCTCGTGCGCGGGAGGGCTCGCTCCCTCCCGCAGTACCTCGTACCAGGTAGCAGGCATTTCCATTACCATTTCCTTCTAGTCGTTAGGCATAGATACTCGTAGGATATCTAGTCATTTAGGATCAGAACACTCTTCTAGTCAACACATCCGTACTTTATTCTCTAATAATTTCCTCATACATCCACCCAACCATCTATGGTCATCTAAAAATTCCTCATACATCATTCCTAAGCATCATTCGTATTACATCTTCTATCTCTTCATTCCTACATCATCATCGAACCTTTTTCATGGTTGTACATCGACCTTCCACTTCTATCTTTCATCCACTACTTCTTCCTCATAGATCATAGATTAACACCAATCTTTCACCGCTTTCACTACTTTCACTCTTCAAGTCTTTCATTCAATCTTCAATCTGAACAATCTGATGTGTAAACCCCGAATCATTGCCGATCAACATTTTCTACTCATCCCTCCTACCCCTACATTCCATCTTCTTCCTCTATTCTCATCTTTCATTAATCATTCCCACTCTATTCCTCCTATATCATACCCACATATCATTCCACAGACCTTTCAAAACCTCGAAACAGCTTCTTCATGTCCTTGTAGTCATTAGTTCTTCTTGCATTCCCACTAGTCATGTCTAGTCATCATCTAGTCATAGGTTTTTCTCTAAGTTTTGTACATGATAAAAGATATACATACATATATATTTCTTCAATTTCGGCTACAGCTTTAGTTCTACATAAAGTACTCTAGATTATCGCTAGGTATTTTTTTTCTTCTTAAATTTAAACCCAAACAAATTCAGGCGAAAATTGTGCAGTAATAGTTTTTAGGTTCGAAAAGCAAAAAACCAAAGCAAAAACCAAAAAACATCCTTAGTTTAGTAGTGGCAGAAGCCAGTGTTGGTCAACGAAGACCAGTGTTGCTAAAACCAAAAAGTCGAGTGTGAACTCTAGTCATTTTTTTTTGTCATAGATAGGATCGTAAGCCGGGGAGAGCCCATCTGTATCTGTGGGCCTCCCCCTTCAATTCTTCATAGCCATTCCACCACCCACCACCCTAACCTTAGTTTTAGTTTTAGTTTAACTTTAGTTTTAGTTTTAGTTTATGGACATTACGGACCAGCGTCTCACTACCAGTCAAAGTATTGAAAACAGTACAACATCTAGCTATAGAACATAGGACGCCCTTTGTCGCAGTGCAGGGTATCCCGTAGAACCAGCGGTTGTGTACTTAATTACTTACTAAAACCTAGTCACATAGCGACAGACGGACAGAGAGAGGGAGAGCAATATCACAGCATTATTGTTCCTTCAAAAAAATGTATAATTTAAATGTATAAATCGGTTGTAACCAAACACACACACACACACACCAGAGTACAACGAAACAATGGGAAACTTTCGCTCAAAAGTAGATCTTAAGCTAGGATACGTCTTAAAGTCTATACACTCTATATACGATCTACATATATCAGTGGATAATCTCATATCTAAAATGGTTGATGATTGACGATTTTTGTGATACTAAAATATTAAGAAGCTAAGCCTAAAGTTTACAACAAATGAAGTTTTTCTTATTTTTTTTTTCCTACTTGTCTGCTCGCTCGATTGTGCATTCAACAATAAGAAAGAAAATACAAAATAAATATTTTTTTGATATACGTAATATTATAGAACCCCCTATATACATATGTATTTACATACCCCCCGAAAAATAAACCCCATTAGATTATATACTATATATATTTTTTTATAAAAACTTCTATTAAAAATCTATAAAAATTGAAAAAACATAAATATTTTGGAATAAAAATAAAGAAAACTGAACAAAAATACTTTTATTGTTTGGGAAAACTTAACACTAAAGGGGCTTCCATAAAGTCCATAATTCGAGCCATCGATATATCTTTTATAAGGATTTGGGTGCACTGCTGCACCATTGAGTGGCAAGGAATGTACTCTTTTCACCATTGAAAATATATGCATATATTCTTGGGGCTAGGAGCCCAGTAATCCATCGATCAAGACGTATGATTCTACCTTTTGTTGAGCCAATCATGGCATTCATCGTGGCTGGTGGTGCCCCTCGACACTGGCCTGCAGACCACCGTCGAGGCCTAACATTTCCATTTTCTTGGACATAAACTTTGATCTCTGGTCTCTATTCCACTATCCTCTCCTCTACAACAGAGAACTGAAAGCACAAACTTGTATTCTTTTGGTTTTTGACAAACCCCCGATCAGGGTTGGATAATCGTTTTATAATTGTGGGGAAAGTACCACCCCCACAAGCATTCAACCTTTCAACCATCCATCCATCAATGCGTGTGTGTGTGTGTGGTGTGGAGTGGAGGTTGCACAAACACCACTTAAAAACCTCTAGTATTTCATGTCCAATAATGATGATGACGAGGTCCGAGAGGATGATTTCTCGTTTCGAAATAACGCTGCAGTACCGTAAATGAAATGCCATTAAAGGCCATTGACATGGCCCATCGATCTCTGGGTTTTTCAGCGTTTTCGTACCCAAAAACAAATACCAAAACATGCAAGCACTGGGAGAACGGATATCGATGTGTGGATAGCAGGAGGTGGATATTCGGGAAGTGGCAGTGGCAGTGGCAGTGGCATTGTTGGACAGATGCAACTTGCGCCTAAGTACACAAATAATCATCACAGAAGTGGTAGTGGTAGTGGTAGTGGTAGTCGTTGTGGGCATGGAAAAGGACTCTGTCTAGGGGTGCGTCCTGCCAGGGGGTGCATACATGGGGGTGGGAATGGATTGGATGGGGGTGCGGGTGCGGGTGCGGGATGCGATGGACCAAAATTGAAACCCTAAACTTAAGCAACTAATGATGCCCCGTTCTCAGCGGAAATGCCCTTAAAAAACTGTTTAATCAAACGCGAATGCATGACAGCACGGCACAAAAAAAATGTATAGGCAAACAGGATACGCCGGGAAGGATATACTCGTATGCGAGGGTGCACCAGAGGAACGGTAGAGGGTGCACTGTGCTCGCTGTGCGTGTGCGGTGTGAATCAATTTAAAGCGTCAAAAGAGCCATATAACGATTTGAGGAGATGTCCTGTCCGCTCCTTCCATCCACGACTCAGCGCCCGGCAAAGGGTGTTGCGTTTCGGAGTGAAATTATGTTAAATCATGCCGACAAAACTACCCTCTCTCACTGCAGCATCTGTGCCGCAAAACGTGGAAAGCAGGGTACCTGAATAATGTACCCCCCGACACTGCGCGTATGTGGCAAGGTTGCAGTTTGCACCTTGGCCGGCGGCACGGGGCATTCCTCCAGTGAGCCCGCATGACTGGGGCAAGTTTCTGGGGTTTTCTGCGGGTTCCCGAAACCGTTTTCAGCTGTTGTTCAGCCTAAGACCTACCTACACTCTCTCCCTCTCCCTCTCCCTCTCCCCCCATATCCATAGCCATATCCATATCGGAAACGTAATGCGGAATTATGTTGTCCAGAGATCGTCTTGAGTCTCATGTTGCGCTGCTAATTTGCACCTTGAGAGGCCTTTCAGGGGCCTCCTCTAGAGTCTGCAACATTTGTGCGTTAGACTGGTTATGCAGGTCCTTTGTCCTTTGTCCTTTGACCCAAGTGGCCGTATGGTTGAGAGTTTCCTGGCAGATTGATGGCACTGATTGGCATTAGCGATGCCAAAGTGTCGCCTGAGAGTCCTCCACTTTGATTACCATCATCCAGGCTTCTAAATGTAACGGTTTAACGGTTCAAAAGCTCCTTGAGCTTTCAGAGCCCGCATGCAACCCTGTTCGGTGCGTGGCAGCTGTCACGGAAATTGCAACTCTGTGGAGTCCCGCCAGCAAGTGGACATTTCCCCGCCAAACTGTCAAACGGAAAACAACGGTTTATCGAAGAGATTCTCTCTGTCTCTCTAATAAGGGGGGCCACGAGTGAGGATGGAGCGAGAGAGAGAGAGAGAGAGAGAGAGAGAGAGAGAGAGAGACACGCACGAGTCGGGAGCCGGAATTCCCAACGTTCGCTGTCGCACACCTGACATTCATGTTGTGGCGACGCTGAAAGTCAGACGTGTGGAGCGCATCCTCTCTCGATCCATCCTCCAAGTCGAATCGCAGTGCAAAAGTTTTTTTTTTTTTCGAAGAAAAAGAGTTTGTGGAGAGACACTGAAAACCCTCGAGGCGTCGCGTCCGCTAACGGTACGGTGTGCACGGTACTAGACCCCTTTTCGCGGCCATCCTTTTTGCGATTGTGTGTGTGTGTGTGTGTGTGTGTGCGATGGTGTGATGGTGTGCGTGCGAGTGTGTGTGGAAAAGCGTAAAATCCTGGTGTTAATTTGCTGGAAAAGCCACAGAAAAACATGAGACATGAGACTCCCGTTTCAACAGGAGGGGGAGGGAGAGTAAGCATGTGCTGCAAGGGGGAGGGTTGCGAGTGGGTGGTGCTGTGGTGCTGTGGTGCGGTGGCAGGTTAAGGGTGTCCCCCTGCTGGGGCGGGGGTGGGAGTCTGCGAGAGCGAAAGCTTTATTGATTGAGAGCTTTTGTCCTTGCTGGCGAGCAAGAGAGCGCGAAAAATACTGGTATTTTCT